AGTGGGCATCCCCGTTGGAGGCGTCTGCCCACCCTCCCCACCCCAGGTAGCGGTTGTGGTCCAGATGGCAGGTACACACCAGCCCCGAGGGACACCCCAGAGCTCACCTCATGCAGCTGGCAGGGCTGGGGTGAGCTTTTACCAGCACTAAGGGGACACCATGCCCAGGCCTGCCATAGTCCTAGCATCGCTCAGGGCACATGGGTAAGCCCAGGGGGTGCTAGTGGAGACACTAAGCCATTTCCTGGCCATGGCTTCCAGTCAGACACACTGATACAGAGTCAGTCAGCCCTGTGGGGGTGGTGAGACACTGGAGCAAGTCACTATGCGGGTGGTGAGGCCCTGTGTAGGAATAGTGGCGCTTTCAGAAGAATTTGTAATGGAAAAGTTAGAAACTTGTTTTCTCTTAGGAAGCCAGCTAAGTACAAGCCTTCTCAAGAGGGTTAGATGTTTTTTTAAGTGTACAGCAACTACAAACATCATACCTCTAAGCAGATTAACTTAAGTAAAAAAAATCAGACAGCTGTGTTTCCATATAAGATATACGGGTGATGGAAGACAATAATTCAGAATAATGAAGAAATCAGATGCACCTAAGGTCCTCTCTCCTCCCCAAAGATGAGACGCCTCTTCATAAGATTTGTGTCTCTGACTCCATCGGAGCACATCCAGGAAGACTTGTACATAGCACTATACACTTCTATTTTGTAGATCTAGTGCATTTATCACAGTCAATTTACCTAGAATCTATAACATGTTGCTTCCATGAACTACGCTACTTGTGAATCTGTGCTTGTGAAAGTCCTTATCGAACACAACCAGACTTATGGTGCCAAACTGGTGGCAGTCAGAAAGTAAGCTGGCTGCACCCAGCCCCTCTGATCTCTAGGGAACAGCTGGAAAGCAAGGGGATTTATTCTCTGCCAAATTTCTACACTCTTAATGCAACATCATGTCCTCATTTTTACAACAAAAGCTATTTATCCACTAAGTAAAGAGGTAACACTAGAGAGACACTTGAACTTAGTATCAATATTCATTCAGCAAACTGTTACATGAGTTGTAACATCAAAAGCCTTTGTCGATGATGACAACGCATGAACCAAAAGGCATATATGTTCTTTAGCACAACAAGTTTCATCTAAGACATTCTTGTCTAAAATTAACCAATAAATTTTTCAGACTGAATCCAGAAGCAATATACAGACTTAAGAAAATCTGAAGTTGATTCCAAGTCGATATGAGTGTCAGACACACTCACTGTCAGACAAATTATTCTTAAAAGAATAGAAAACTTCAACTGAAACGGAAGGCAGTAATTAAGTGGATCAGGGCAGTGAAACACCTCCTGGAAATTCCAAGGGTAGGAAAATAATTATACACCTATCTTTCTTTTTGAGTGCAAAAGGCCTGTATTAGTTAGGAAGTTGGGGTGTTGTTTTTTTTTTTCAGAAACAGTTGAAGAAATTAGTTGCTTAGAGGCTGCAATGTTGCTATAATCAGAAAGGATTCCTTTAGACAACAGAGAAGAATAAAGAAAGGGAACGGTAAAAAAAATAATTGGAAATTAAAAACTACACCAAAGGGAAGAAGATATACAAAAAACAGCCTCTCTCCTGAAAAATAATTTGTAGGATTTAGATATTGTAGGTCAGGAAATAACTATGAGAAGTGTAACAGGTTTTTTTTTAATCAGAGATAATAAGGAAGGAAAAGAGTCTAACGAGGACTAAAATTGAGATACAATTAGGCTGAAAACAGGAAATTTAGTTATCCTGGAAAGGGAAACCCTATGAGCTGGAAAGACTTGTAAGTCTTTATGACTATTCCAAAAGCTAATTTTTGGTTGAAAAGTGCAAGATAGACTAAAGAATACCTTGGGAAAAAAACCCCAGAAAACAACAACAAAAGATCAATCCCCCACCCTATTAAAAAAAAAAAAAAAAAGTTGTATATCACTGTTACAAGGATTTGATAGAGAAGACTCTACTCCCAGGGCTTTGTGTGCAAATTTTTCATTGCTTCTTTAACCAAATGTTGACTCGTTTATAAGACAAAACCTACAGTGTATTCTTTCAACTTACCACAGATATTTTTTAAAACTTATATCTGTACCATGGTCACTACCAAGTGACCATTTGATTACTTCAGATGGAAAACTGATTTATCTTGATATGTTACAGCGAAGCTGCCTGAGACAGTATTGCATCAATGCTGTGGCAGGTATTGTTTTCAACTAAGAAAATTACACATATTCAAGAAAAAGCATTGTGTTGATTTTACTCCAATTTCTGCTGCTTTTCTTCATATGGAATTTATGTACCTTGAATACTACTTGAAAAAATCCCCACATTTTTCTGAGATAATATTAAGTTTTAAAAAACCATATTCAAATAACTAAAATGATACCTTAAAAAATTACTTATGGTTCTTGGGATAAGAAATGAGTTCTAGCAGCGTCCTGCAGCCCTGCAGTACTAGAGTGAATATTCCTCCTCCTTTCCAGCACCTGATACACCTCTCAAACAATAGCCTAGGGAAGCATCACAGTAACATTATGACTTAAAGCTTGGAGAAAGATTTACCACTGAGATCTGTTCTTGTCACCACACCCTTCAACAGCATGAAGCTGGTGGGAAGTGAGAGACTGCCAGCCTACCGTCTTTAAGAGTTTGTGAAGGTGTGAAAAAAATATGCTCGGAGAAGCAAGGGAGGATTGGGAAGGCTGAGAAGAGAGAGGACAGAAGAGCCCATGAGACTGTAAAGGAGTAAAGGCGGACATTCATGTCCCATGGCTCCTTGGAGCAGAATACAAGTTTACTGGCTTCTAGAGGTTAATGTGAAAACTGGGAGAAGGATCCTACTAGCTCTTACTAAGAATATTGTCAGCTGTCCTGGGAGCCATCCTCCACAGTAGTAAGCTGCTGTTGGGAGCATAGGAACAAGGTGCTCTCCCACAGTCTTCCTCTGACTCCACAGCTGGTCTCGCACTTGGTGAAGGAGGCTACTGACTCAAGGGTGCTGCCCTGCCCTGTCTATGCTTAGACATAATTTCACATATTTAAGGTACCTTTGAAGATAGTAAAAGTAGTATTAATATATCTGAAGAGATTAAAATCTAGAGTTAAAAGAATATTACATGAAATTTATTTAAGTGTAGTAAGAATTTATTATGAAATTATGACAGGATTCATTACGACAGAATATTTTCTCCAGTTCCTAGTTGGTACTGGACTCAAAAGCGCAATTAAACCCACACATAACAAGCTAGAAACTGTGGCAGAGCTACAAAAAGACAGGTCAAATAAGCTGAATTAAAAGAAGAGGCAGGAAATCCTGCTTCTTATTCTAAGATGTGACAATGATTTATTCCCTTACTATGGACCTTACCGATATAGTCAAGTCCTTGTTCTTAATATGTGAGAGAGTGGTAAAAGGCTTCTGTAAACTGGCAATTGACCATTCTCCCAGTACAGAAAGAGCGGGAAGCAGCAAGTAGGACACACCGTGGTTCGACAATACTGTACTGATCCAATGGCTTCTTTAGATCAGCTGCAACCCTCTGTTTTAAATTAAGAAGTCTGTAAAATTTCTTACTTAGCTCCTTTGATCCACTGTGTTTAATGAACATAGCTCTACATTCAAACCTTAACCTTTCTGAGCCTCAGCAACAGATTGTTTTTCCCCCCTGTTATTACCTACCTTCCATGGATTCTGAGAATTACTGTGGGTAATATTAGCATTGTAGCAATTATTTAGTATTGAATTTAATACTGAACACAGTATTACTGAACAGTAATATACCTATCAAATAAAGTGATGGAAGCAAAGACTAATAAAATTCAGGTTTTTTTGCGTTTGGTTTCTTTTTTTTATAAGGTCAAAAGGGTTTTGAGCAGTTCAATGAAAAAGCTGAATGCTGGTACTGAGATCAGTTTTTGGTTGGTATGTTAAACTGAATCAGATCATGAAGGAGCCAGACAATATTTTTTCCCCATTCCTTACAATTCCTCTTAATCTTTTCAGACTGGTACATATTTAGAAATAAAATCTAGGCAGATGGGCAGAACAATATGATAGAAATGCCAGGCATAAAAGCAAGTGGACAGGACAGCAGAAGAGCAAGTATCAGTGAGTAAGCAGACCCAAAGAGCAGCAAAGGGACACTGCATTCAAGGATCAGGTGAAAAGGTAGAAGGAAAATGCCAAACATTCAGCAAGTTGCTAAAGCAGTACCAAACAGTCAGCGTGTGTGCCAAGCAGCAAAGAGCAATTTCACAAAGTCAGCAGATGCACTCAGCAGAAAGGCAATGCCAGGCACTTGGAGCAGGAGACGGGGCAGCAGAAGGCCAATGCCCGTGTACAGTCAGACTGAAAGGACAGTAAGGAGGCGATACATGCCGTTCAACAGATGGACAGGGAAGTAGGTAGTCAGTGTCAAGCAATTAGCTGGCCAAGAGGCAATGCCAGACAGTCAGGCAAAGGGCCAAGACTTCAGGAGGACAATGCCACACAGCCAGCAGGTAGAGAGAATAAAAGACAGTAGTAAATGCCAGGCAGTCCCCAGACAGACAAGTCAGAAAAAGACCAAAGCCCACAAATAATCAGATGCAACTTTCGGCAAGGACAAAACATAAGCTTGCCAAATGATCAATAGGGCAGCAGGGTGGCAGTGCTTTTTCAATAACTTAGGATACCATGAGTGAAAAAGTCCCAACAATCCAGACGCTCACCCTTTGGTAATATCATTTGATCAGAGTGAACCATGAAAATCCACAGGAGAATAGCACACAAATGGAAACAGCAAATGAGTCTGACCCTAGCACTTGGGGAGGCCATGGGACCTTCCTATAAAACAAAAATATGAGAATCCACAAGAAAATCAAACAAATGGGAAAAATGTGGCTAAAAACTGTTTCTGATGATGATTAAAAAAGCAAAAAAATACTAGCAAAGAATTAGTCTGGAAATGATCGGGTGGGATTGAAGATGTTGCTTACCCCTCTCTGGAGCCCACATAATGGGAATGTTGGGAATTTCTGCAGCAGAAAAACAGAAGAGAAAAGGGATTTCTGACTCCCAGTTCAAGGAAAGCATGTCATTTTAGGACTGGGTAATCTCTTTGGGCAAAAAATAAGAATTCAACTGAATCTTTGCCCATCCCCAGATACATGCCTTTATTGAGGTTTGTGAAAAATTTAAGAAGACCACATCACTTTCATCTCATGACCTCCCACCCTTGATCCCCAAAACCACACTTACCTCTAGCACCTCTAATATAAGAGGGGAAAGGGGATGGTCTTGTGAGCTCATTCCCACAGCCACTGCAAAATAGGTTGTGAAGTTGAACAGGAGTACCCATTAGCCACTGCTGGCCATTTGTGAGATAAACTGGAGTCATCATTAGCTGTTACTCATTATTAGTGTATGATGGTGTTTGAATTTGGCTTAGATACATCCACACTCTAATGAAAAGAATCAGTCCTACGAATCTTGTGAGGTAACCTTCTTCTAAGTGAGAAACTTAGAAGCACCTTTTTGTTACCTTGAATATCCTCTTCTCTTTAACTTAAGTACTGTTATTTAACATGGTTTTTTTTTTAAACAAATTAAACTGTGTTTCAGAAATCTTAGCTGCTGCTCTATTTCAGAAACATGTAATGAAGTCTGAAATGTAAGAACTGAGAAAATCCCAGCAGTAATAAAGTTCAGTAATTTGACTCATCTGTTATTTCAGTCATGAGTCTTTTTATTTAGTATGTTCCTAGTAACTAAAAGTCAACCAACCAAGAATCACCAACTTCACTATTTCTGTCCACTTTGAAGTCCACATTGTGTGTGCATTGATGCCTTAAGCTCCTAATGGTTTTTTATTTTTCTAATATTTAGAAAAAAGGTTTTAAAAGCAGAAACCCCTTCCTTCTTTGTCCCTTGTCCCTTTCCCTTTCTCCAGTACCCTTGTTTATACACTCCTTAACCCTCTTACCCCATTCTATCCTCCCTATATCACTCATAGCCCCAAATCTAATAGAAATGTTTAGTCTTTTGTCAAGGCAAGGCCTAGACAGTTGACAGAACAGCCGGCAACAGCATTTATTCACCTGCACATTAACTTTTTATTTCCAACACTAAAAACCTACACTCCACTCTGAGAAGGTAGTAATATGCAACAAGAAGCCAACTCTTCCCTCTTTTGCAAACTGTAGAGAACCCTAGATAATATAAAGGCATCATTAGCTCTGCTATGCCCTGCTGAATCAGGATTTGGAAAGGTCACAGAGAGAATCTGTATGAACTTGCCATGCCCTCATACCCAACAAAGATCTTAAGGAATACAGTAGCAACAGGCTAAGCTGATGGAACAGTATTTATAGTGATCCTCTGGGTATCACCCACTCATTCTTCTAGCTGAGCAAGGCACAAGAATAATACAGGTTAATACAACTTCAAATTTAGAAATTGGGGTCATAGAAAAGGAATTTCTTCCATATCCAAACCTTCCTGTGTCAAACACTATTATTTGGGCTTACAACAAAATGGTAGGAAATTTAGGCAGAGAAGACCAAGAGACTTCCATCGTATGATTAGAAATGGCATAAACCAGCCAGGAATTGCAAACAGAAATTAGACCATGAGGTAATTACAAAATCTGGTGATTTTGTGGCCAGCAGCAACTACAATTAGCTGCAGCACATCAAGAACAAAATTGCTATCACCTTCTCTCTGAAGTAAGATCTTTCAAGCTCAGTGAAAATGAACTATGACAAACTGATCTCAGCACACCATAAGAAAATGTTTATTTGTGGAGGAAAATCTGGAGTTTTTTTTAATCCAGTGAATGTCAACAAGTAGTAACAGTAGATTATGCACCTCACTATTAATTTAGGTATTTCAATTAAAAAATAACTGGGAAAAGAATATATGCATGAAGGGACAAGAAGCCAAAATACAGTCTAAATTAAGATAAAAAAATAATAATTTTCTTGTCCATAATAAGATAGGACTTTCAAGCCTGAGTGTGATAATAGTCATTTTGGTTTTGTATTTTGGTACTTATACTGAGTCAACATTTTGCTAAAGCTTCACTGCTCCACGTGGTAGCAATTAGCAAAAGCAGGTGAAGGACCAGTTATAATCCTAAGAATAACTCCTGAAGCCAGCTGCTTTCCAAAACTCTTCTAGTTTCTTTTCATTTAGTGGCTGGAAAGGCTCCTACACAGCAGGCAAGCAGCAAATGAGAAATTCTCAATTCTTTAATAAGTATTAGTTTTAATGATCAACTATGTTAATAGTGAGTCACTTTGCTATTCTGGTGTGCTTATGTCAAAAGGACTAACTCACTCAATTTTTCACACATCTTAAATCCAAACTAGTATTTGCCCTCTAGTTTCCATGTCTTTAAGCTGCCGTCACAAAGAAGTCTTCCTAACATGTCTATACAATTTTTTGTTAATTTTCCCCATATTAAGCTTTTACTCTTTGCAATAGACCATGACCAGAAAAAAATGACACATTAAGGGCAAAAATTGTGTAATTACAGGTCTGACAATGCTTTCAAGATTATTTTGCCTTAACTTGATGTTTAATTTTTTTTCCAGTTTCCTATTATCTCTGAAGTGATGCTTTAATGGAAACTATTTTTAGAAATGCTTAAGAGGAAAAAAAATTCCAAAAGTTCCAAATTTAAAATTTATTATGCAGAAGTCTTATGGCAGGCCTATTTTTCTTTCCACAGTTACAGAAAGGACTGCAAAATATATTCACTGTTGTGGCTACATTGCTAATAGGAGACAAGCCAGTTAACAGAGACAGCTGTGGGCTCTACAGTGAAAATATGGCTAAAAGGCATCAGTAATACCAAGAGGAGGAGAACTCTTCTCTTTACCTCAACAGAAAAGCAAACTATAATCATATTGTTCTTCTGGCTGTATTTTTGGAAGTATTTGAGTTCACTGGGATAGGAACCATTTTTCTACTCACAGGATATGCCAGCCTTCTTCCAACTTCCATTCTGAAATTACCTTGGAATAAAAAACTTATTTTCAAAATTTAAGAATAAAAAAGTGAGGTTTCCTGGCTCACCACCGTGGCTTTGCTTCTCATTTTATGGAACATTCAAATCCCTCACTACTGTTTTACTATTCTTTTCAACAGAGCTTGCAAATATTTCATACATGTTTGAGAGTCAGAAAACAGAACTTCTATTTGCTATTCGAGAGTATTAAGGACAGCAAAAATAAAGCAAATAAAAGCTGATCCTTAAATGGGCAAAAATATCCAAAGGTGCAAGAGGAATTCTATTAGCATTACCTTTATGATATGATGGTCAGACAACTTCACACAGAAGGTTAATACATTAGTTAAGTAATTTAAACGTTATTTGTCCCAGCATCCTCAGCCAGTATTTTCAGGGGTTTGCATTTTCAAAAAAGAGGCAGAAGCAATTAATGTGATCCTTTTGAATTCATGAAATAAAATTGCTTAATTATTAATTTCAGGATCCATTTTAGTCAAACTATCTTCTCATCTAACACACACAGAACATAAAGCCAGAATCTAGTTTGGCCTTCCATGCAGGATAATTCATTCAACATCATCTATGACTTCTGTACGGAGTACAAGATAACTTGAGTTCTGTAAGATATTTCTCCCACTATCAAATACTTTTGATTTGACAGAATTAAAATGAATACAGGTCTCTAGGGAACTTGTTTGTGTGATTAATCTCCTAAACAAGCAAACCAACCTCAACACATAAAAACCTTCCACTATTTTCTTATTAGATTTTTCTGGCTCAAGCTCTCTATCACCAGCTATTTTTTCAATTCTCTTAAGTAGGCAAAGAAAGCCTTTGGTACCTTACAAAGCCTTTAGTGCTGTATGTTATTATTTCCCAAAGAAAGTACAGGTAAAACACAAGATATTTCCCAGTTTTCTTTATGATAAACTAAACAGATCGAGTTGCATAACTCTCACAGAAAGCCATTGTATATTTTTTGACCTTTTTCTGTATCCACTGTGACATTTGAAACTTTTTAAAAGGGAATGCCAGAAAAAATATGCAGCTTTGCATTTTAGACACATCAATCCCACATACAGACAAGTACCCTCTGCATTACAACACTTCTGTTTTCCCCATATTCTTCATAATTGTCTATTTTGGAAAATCTAGACACAAATAAGTTGAGAGACACATTCTTTCAATCTAGTATCTCAGCTGGATTGACACAGACAAAAAAACAAGTCAAAAACTGCTGTTTATGCAGCAGAATATCAAGAATTTACCAAGCCCTCTTTATTTATCAAAATAACCATTCTCCAGGAACACTCTCTCTGCATCTATTTTCTTCATCCTTTAGGGTTTTTTTGTTTATTTGGTTGGGTTTTTTTGTTTTGTGGGTTTTTTTTGTTTGGTGGTCTTATTTTTTGAGTAACCTCTGATATTTGAGTAAATGGAGCTGAAATGGGATCAGGCTTTCTTCTCCCTCACATTTCTCACTATAGGTGCCCTGGCAGCTTGCAGGTGTTCCCATGCAGTGACTGCAGTTGATGATAGCAACCAAGCCCTTCAGCAATGATGGTGTGTTACCAAGCTTCCCTGAGAAACTCAAACAAGAGAAGAGAAAGGCACTTTTTAGCCCTTCGTAAGTCAGCTAAATCAGTGTGGAATTTCTCAAGACACAGGTGCTTTTGTAATCTGTATAGTGCAAATAATTTGTATATTGCTTCTCAAAGAAACTGGTAATAGTTGTAAGTGAAAAGTATTCTGCAACTAAATATATCAATTCTGTTATAATAGCTTGCCTTCCAAAGAGAGATTTAAAATCTAAATAAAGAATTCTTAATTAAATTGTTATGGCACATAAATATGTTTGGATTTTTGTAACACCAAATACAGCTTTTCAAAAAAAATATTTTATTGAAAAATTAAAGCAGATAGGATAAAGGTCTAATCATACAAGCTAAGAACTGTCTGGAGGACTAAGAAAAAGGCAATGGTACTTTATAGAGTTGCTGCTAAACTTCTAACAGAGTAGTA